GGGGATGGGGAGTGGGGGGGAGCTGGGAGGGAGGTAATGTGGGGAAGGGGCGGGGACCTGGACAGCACAGCATTCTGGTGTTTTTCTCCTGTATTTTTAGTTTCCCACCCCCCAATATCTGCTTAGTTTCTTTCTTCCTTCAGAATTAGAGCAGCGCAGGGGTGGAGGGCATGCTCTGTGCTGTGGGGAGCCCTGCAGGTGCCTTGTTCCACTCAGCAGCCTTGGAGAAGCCAGAGGCTGCTGCCTGGGCGGGTGGCTGGGCCTTTGCATCCTGCTCATGCCCGTGTCTTGCTCTTTGTTTTGTCCTCAGTGGTCCCAGGCTGCACCCATGGCAGATGGAGAGCACAAACCCCACGAAGGTGAGTCCCTCTGGCTCTTGGGTGGGGTACCTGTCTCCCCAGGGGATGGGTGGGGAAGACCAATTCCTTTCTTTCAGGGCTATGGGGGCAGGAAGGGGTGCAGGGATGGGGATCAAGAAGGGAAGAGGGGAGCACCATGAGAGTAACCCTTTGTTCTGGAGGACTCTCTTTCCTAGTCAGGCCTCTGCTACAAATAGGACGTGTTGCCTTTTCCTTCTGCTCTTTCCAGTAAAATTTTACTTGGAGAGGCAGCCGTGAGCACAGACCAGGAAGGCAGTGTTCAAAGATCTCCGGTGTCAAGGGAGGTGTCCCTTGTCCCACCTGCCCTCAGGGGAGGATGGGTCTTCTCTGTCACATCCAACCCAGCTGCATCACACCTGTGGGGCCTCTGTGGAGGGGGCTGTGACCCTTGCTGTCCAGGAAACTAGCTGTGTGTGAGCTGGAGGTGCAGGGGGGCCCCACCTCGTGGGACCCCTCCCCACAGTCTGCATTCCTTAGCGGGTGGAGAGAAGGCCCTACAATCTCCTCTGCCCTCTGGGTGGGATAGGTTTAGGTGCTGTGAACTTCCCTCCTGGGCCAGCAGAGGGCTGGCTGTAGCTCCCAGGTGCCCCGCCCCCTGCCCAACTAGAGTCCGCCTGCCTTTTGTTCCTCTGTGGTTTGGAGCAGGGACCCTCCCATTTCTCCAGGGAAGCCCTGGCTCTCCCCCAACACTGAATGCGGCCTCTGCTTCAGCCTGGGGGAGGAATGCCTGATGCCACTCCCCCAGCTCCCCACCCCTGAGGAGAGAAGGCCCTGGGGTCTTCCTTGGGGTGCGTTTTCTGACCCAAATCCAGCGTGGCCCAGGGTAGTGGCCAGGGGCGGTGTTTGCACTCCCTGGGCCGGTGGTGATGCCCAGCCGGTTCTGCCTCCTTCCCTCAGGAGCTCTTTCCTTGGCCCGGGGCCTGGCTTCCCAGCCACTCCACAGCTTGTGCCACTGACAGCTCCTGGCTCCCAGTGTGTGCCCACCCGCCATCGGTCTCTCGGTGGTCTCTGTGGTCTGGGAGAGGCAAGCAAATGGTCTTTGTTTGCTTGGGGAAAAGATTGTCTTCAAGAAATAAGGAAAAGCAAGACAGCTTGATGTTGGAGTAGACGTATGTTTATGGCCTGTGCAGAAGTGGGACGGTTTTCCTTAGAGGCAGTGGCTGGGGCGTGAAGGGTTTAGGTGAGGTTCTCCCCTCTACCTTCCTCCGCCGCACGGCCCTTAGGGATTCCAGGGAGCTTTTCCAAGGAATTCCTCGCCTGTGTCTTTTTAGCTTCAGCAACCCACGGCCACGGCCCAGGCCAGACCTTTCTGCTTTCCTGTCTTGGGTGGGGCCCCAAACCTGGCCACCTGTGTCCCCAGCCATAACACAGTGTCAGGTCAAGAATTCTTCAGTCATCTTCGATATAGACTTGGATTAGAAAAGGGCTTCTTCAGATCCCTGGGCTTCATTCTTTTTGAAGGTGCTTTGCCTTAACCCCTCTGAGGGTGGAGGAGAGAATTCTATGCCTGTTGTCTGCATAGGGGAAGTAGATCTCAGGCAAGGCCAGGGACTATCCTGCTGTTGTCACAACTGTGGCCTTCCCCTCAGCTCCCAAATTTCGACCCACCTATTGTGTATATGCCCCCCAACCCTGCTCCCTGGGGCTCATCTTCCTTTACCCTCTGGAGGGAGGAGGAGGCTCAGCTTGTTTCTGGGAGAGGCAGGCTAGGGGGTGGCCCTTCACATGCCTTGGTGAGGTTCCAGACTGTTACCTGGGCTGAGAAAGAGTGCTTATTCACCGGGCTGGAAAGGGAAGACAAAACCCCACATTTCAGCCTCGCTCTCAGTGTCTTTAAACATGCCCCCCCCCCCCCCCCCCCCCCACCGCCAACCCATTTACACAGATGTGCAGTCTGAGGCCCAGAGAGGGAGGAACTGGCCCAAGGTTACACCAAGTCATGGCCTGAGCTTGGACTACTTCGTGGCCTGGGTGCTGCTCCTTCTTCCTGTGCGGGGGAAATACATTTCAGGGACAGGATTACTGTGTGGTGTGTGTGTGTGTGTGTGTGTGTGTGTGTGTGTGTGTGTGTCAGAGAGAAAGGGAGAGAGGGAGAGTGGCAGTCTGGGCCACAATTTGGAGTCCTCAGTCCAGGTCCTGATTGCATCTATTCTCAAGGACCCCGCCCCTGTGGCCTAGAATTACCCCTTCATGCTCCAGTGCACCCCAGGCTCCACGGCCGGCCTGGGAAGCTGTCTTTACCCTGCTCTCCCTCCAGATCAGCTTCTAGAAACGCTCCGTGGCTGCAATGGCAGCACCGTTTTTTCCATGATGCAAGCAGTTTGCCCTCTTGGGCGGGGTTATCGGTGGCTGGCAGGGCCTGCATAGTGTGCCCACCCACTGCCACCTGCTGATTCCCGGCCGGCCCAGGCTCTGTGCTGATGCTTACCGCTTTCCCAGCCTGCGTCTGGGGAGGGGTCTGGCAGGTGGCACAGCGCCCCCTGCGGTGCTTCCCCTCTGTTTTCACACGATGTCGCCTGCCTTGGGAAGGCTTCCATGGCAGAACTGATTTGAACTCTAACACTTAGTGAAGTGTGGCCTTGGGGCAAGTTACTCAGCCTCTCTGAACCTCCAGTTCCCTCTTGGTAAAATGGGCCTCCTACTGGAACCCGATGGTGTTGTGCGGGGAGAATTGTTGGCCATGAAAACTATGGGCTACTGCACACCTTGCTCAGCATGTAATAAGTGCTCATTAATTGGCTGTTGGGGTGGAGGGTGGTGTGGCAGAGGTTGTAGGAAAACGGGGAGTAGGTTTGCCAAGCTGGCCGTTGCTCCTTTCACCGGCAACTTAGATCACCCCTCAACAAGTAAACTCGTGCTCGAACTATGTCCTGGCATCGAGGCTGACCCAAGAATGCGCTCGGCTGTCATGGCGAGGCAGCGGGATCACATGTGGCAGGTTATCTCTGGCAAAACCGGACAGCCTGGTGTGATCTTTGGAATAAAACCAGGCCTTCATCAGTGCTGATGGTGGAAAGCTTAGGGAAGGATGCCAACCACAGCCGGAGGGACTTAGGTTAGAGTTTTGGAAGGACCGGCCCGAAAGTGGGTACCTCTCACAGGCACTCTGAGGGGCGGCCTTCCCAAGCTGGGCGGAGTTAGGAGCCGGCCATCTCTCGTGTGACCTGCTGGGCTCACGTGTCACCCCATCCCACGCAGTGGTGAAGTTCATGGATGTCTACCAGCGCAGCTACTGCCGTCCCATCGAGACCCTGGTGGACATCTTCCAGGAGTACCCTGATGAGATCGAGTATATCTTCAAGCCATCCTGCGTGCCCCTGATGCGATGCGGGGGCTGTTGCAATGACGAGGGCCTGGAGTGTGTGCCCACGGAGGAGTTCAACATCACCATGCAGGTGAGCATCGGCAGGGAGTGGGGGTGGGAGGGGGGGTTAGACTTGGGGAACAGGTGGTCCCAGGCCCTTTGCTGGGCAGCTCTTGAGAGGAGGAGCCAGACGTGACTTGCTCCGCTCCTGCCCCTGAGTCCGTCGCAGGGACGTGTGGGGGAGTCTTGCTTTCTTTGGAGAAAAAGATGCCTACATTCCCCAGTCCCACAGGGGCTGACGCCTGTGACAGGAGGCCTTCTCTTCCTCTCTTGGAGGAAGAGGGCCCTTCCTCTTTGGGGGCTCTATCTGGGAAGCTAGATGAGCCTGGTCCATGGAGAGGTTTAAAAGCCAGTTGTTTGGTGCTTCGCAGCGACAGGGCACATCTCAGCTTGAACAGGGTGGGAGGGAGCTCTGAGACCCCAGGGAGGGTGGCTCTTGGGTAGCTACCAGGGATGAGGGTAAAGCCTAGAGGAAATAAAAGGAGGGGAGGGATTGGGACCGGTGAGAACCCAGGACCTGAATTCCCAGCCTGGCCAACCCGTGCAGCCATGTCTGCCCTCAAGAAGAACAGGGGCTCCTTGAGATCAGCAGGGTTGGGGACGTTGGGGTGGGCCCGAGGCTCTTTCTGGCGGAGCCCCTGGTCCCTCCTACCTCTGTCCCCCACCCCTGCTCTGTAGAACCCCTGGGTGCTGAGTGGCAAGAGCCATGGGGTGTCCCATCTGGGTATGGCTGGCTGGGTCACTAACCTCTGTGATCTGCTTCCTTTCCCTCTAGATTATGCGGATCAAACCTCATCAAGGCCAGCACATAGGGGAGATGAGCTTCCTACAGCATAGCAAATGTGAATGCAGGTGAGGATGGGGTCACGGGCTCATTCGTTCAGCACGTGGAGGCGGGGTTGAGCACGTGCCACGTGTTGGCCCATGTCCACCTTCCCACTGTGGCACCTTGGGCGACTTTAATTTTACCTCACTGTGCCTCAGTGTCTACATCTGGAAACGGGCATAATAACGCTAGGTACCCCATAGCATCGTTAGAAAGATTAAATGCGTTAGTTTGCGTCAAGAGATTAAAAGTGCGTTGATATGTCATAGTACTATGTGACTCTTCTTGTTGGTCTCATCACCATCTCAACCCTTCTCTGTTTTGTTCTTCTCTTTTTCTCTGCCCGCTGCAGACCAAAGAAAGATAGAGCGAAAGAAAAGTAAGTAGCCATGATTTTAGCTCCTCTCCCTCTCCTTGGCCCGTTATCTTGGTTTGGGGTTCTTGGCTTCCTCTGTTGGGCGGGGGGCGGTGTGGGGGGGG